AACAGGCGTACGTTGGGCTGACAAGTTAACACTAGAAGGTTTAAACTTTGCAGATGATTTATGTCTAATGCCATACAAACTCAAAGATTTGCAGGCGAAAACCAATAATTTGACGGGGGAAGCAGGTAGAGAAGACAGGACTTCAAGTCAATACAGGGAAGACGAAAGTGGTGAAGATACCTGGTGACTAACAACAACAGCAACAGAGTATGCAGAAGGAAATAGAAATGGAGTGAACACACACTGAGGAAACCGCTGAGTGACATCACACATGAGACAGGCTGTCGAGTGGAACCCTAGAGACAAAAGATGAACTGAGTGACATGGGGGATATCGTGAGAGGAGGAGGAGATGGAAGCCTTTGGGCATTCGCAGTGATAGCCTAAAAAGACTGCAAGGAACAGAATGAATTGGAGGCATACATCTGAAGCTCTGTGTTCCCCTCGTAACCTAAGGGAATAATAATGAAATTACTTCAATCATAAATTCAGGGTCACATAATTAAACCATCTGAGTCTAAAGAAGGCAATTATTTCATACTACTTTCTGTTGTCGGTGAAACTGTTTCCAATGCTAATTGTAGTATCGGAAAGCAAATAAATATTACTCCCCTTAACTTATATATATATATAATCAGCATTTCAGGTTAACTAGCATCACAGTGCTTTGTCCAAAGGGGCTTCGATAGTCAATATTTCAGGAAATTAAGTGTTCTTTTTAGGTTGAGTTTATTCTGTCATCGGTCGAAGCACTGATGTCATCAGCAATCGGAGTATATTCTAATCAGATATGTGTAGCAGGACGGTTGTAAGAACTACTAAATACATGTCTTTACACTGTACTGGCTCAAAATCTTCTGTCCAGTCAATTTGGTTCCCAGTCATTGTACTCCAAAATTTAAACCATAGTGAGTTTATTGATGTAAATTTTGTTGTCAGTTATATAACAAAACAGACTGTCGATCTAAGCAAATTTTTTCCCCATTGTTACGAAATAATTACTTCTATCAGCTGACTAATGAAGCAACTATTATTATTATAGATACTTATTGGAAGTATTCAGCACGATTTCAAGGTGAACACCAGTACAACCTGACACCTAGAGAATGTGTCATGTGACTTTCGAACTCTTCAAACCAGCGTCAACCCACATATAACCTGAATTTTTAGATAGCTCGAAGCAATCATCAGGAAGACTTGAATCGAGGTACTGTCACCAAGGCATATCTGAAATCTTGAAGGAACTCATATCCCTTCTAAAATCCAATTCTAGGTCACCCAGCGTCATAGTCAGAGATGTTGTCACTGAGCTATTCCAGCTTGCAGCTCACCTTCTGTAGGACTGTGAAAAGTACTTTGACTATAGACTATGCGGTAACTGATGTTATGCGTCTAGTGCTTTGTCTCGTGCAGTCCAGGCTGTATAAGTTAACTTTGTCCTAAATTCTTGTATGTCTCCTTTTGGCTTATTCCTTATTATTTGTCTTTATTTTGGTGGTATTACAAATAATGTGTTGTTTATACCACGGTGATGTTGTCTATTTGGACTCGAGTTTACTCCCCGGAGTGGCTGGTTGACCTTGGACTATCTGAGGGAAAGTTGTTTTCTTCTATTTGGTTCTTGCAGACAGAGTTTTGATTCCAACTTGTTTGGAATAGTTTTAGTGGTTCTCAGGTAATTTATTATTATGGTTCCCTTGGGTTTCGGGTACAGCGTAGAGCTCCGACAGCACTTTTCCAATTTTTTCCTGTTTCCTGAAGACCACTTTGGCCGGCTCCGCGATCGCCTACGAACTTTTATCGCCTTCTCACACGAGCTCCTTCATATCACCCTCGGCCAACAATTAACTCGTCCTTTTCCTTTCGCATTCCACTAGGGCGATGGCCTTTCACACGATGTCATCCAACGGTCCCCCTTGATCCAATTGCCATTTACTTCTCAACATTCGTTCTTGGTTGGCTGGTTATCAGAGTTTCATGGTGCTAATTCTTTCTGACCATCTGATCTTCAGTATGAAACCAGCGAAGGCAACCGCTGATAATGGTCTACAGTAGCCTGTTGGAAATGCTTTATATGGCACGCCAACCTCCTGACCTATATAGAAGCGCTGACTTAACACTGGTTTTAGAAACCTAAATTTTTCCTCTTTGTCTAAAACTCAGAAGATTTCCACACTGATTTCATAGTGATGAAGGTGTGTCTTGACTTTCCGATTCTGGTTTTGACATCTTCATCCGTGTTGCTGTCTATAGTTGAATCGATGCTGCCCAAATAAGTGTAAGGGGTGACCTGGTTCAAATTCGTTCCTCTGATAGTGATTGATGCTTGTTGTGGTTAGTTGGTTATCTTGATCACTTCTATCTTCTCTACTATCATTTTTTGAGCTTTTATGGTGACTGGATTGATTTTCTAGGGTCACTAGCTCCACTCCTAAACTTCCTTCTTTTCCAGGGCTTAGGGCCGGCTAGAAAACTAGTGAACTAGCAGAATTCGCACCGCGGACACCATAGAAGACTAACTGGACAATCTCAAGGGAATCCTAATCGAGAACGATTTATTGCAAAATCCATGAATCCTAGACCACGAAAGCCGCCTACGCTTAACGTTCCGAAAAAACCCCTCTACATGAACCTTCAATTCAATGGAGATTTATCCGCGGAAACACTGAAAAATCGACTGACCCGTGCACTTAAGAAAACCTTCTTTGCAGCTGGAATACGACTAATCTTCTCCACGAAACCTATGATTCGTGTGAACTTGAAGGATAAGCTACCACCACTGGCCTCATCAATGTGTATCTACCAATTCGCCTGCTCGTGTGGAGCCAGGTATATCGGCCAAACGCTTACCAGCATGGCTTTACAAAGGAGAAAATCGATGCCCCCGCAGCTATATCTAAGAACATCTAATAGATTCCAGACACCAAGCTACACCTCAAACAAACTTCAGAGTCGTCTACAGAATACAAAGTAGTTTTCCTAAAAGTGTAAGAATCAGAATTCTTCAAAATGCAGAAGCAATGGCAATTCACTTGCTAAGTCCTGAACTCTGCATACAGAAGAAGTTCGTTCAATCACTACATTTGTAATGGATGTAATCTGTCTCAATACCAGACAGATAAATTCTACTTTTTTCTCTTCTATTTCTTCATTAGTATTGTCTTTTCACTTGTAATATTTTACATTTTCAACCTTCCTGTTCTCTACCCCCACCCGATTTAATTTCTACACCTCATTATCCCTGTTACTGACTTGACCAACGCTCAATTTCTAGTCTTTTATGTTACGTCATCCAATTTATTTGCTAAGTTTTAGTTCTTATTTAAATGGCATTATTCTATACCCCACCTCTACTTAGTTCCTGACATAAGTTGAAACATTTTAGTCAATTATATTACGTTATCTAACTTACTAACTCAATCTTACTTTAGTTGCTGTCTATTTAACCTTGTTTCTATATTAGATCATTCTTGTATTACCTGATTAATTATCTAAACTTGATAAACGTCATATACACACACACAAATAGCTATTTATAAATACGATTTTACAGCTATGTGAATGAATTCGCTGAAAAGAGTCTCTTCGCTGAACGTTTTCTCTTTATCATATGATTCACTGGGGGATTTTTAAGCAAGTAGTGAACTGGTAAACTAGGTTAGGTTCCTCTTGATATTATTGGAATAAATTTGAACGCTATGTGATTTGCATTAGTTAGGCTGACTATACAGAAAAACTCATCGAGTGGTTTTAGCGTTCAAACGGAAAATAAACTTGATTTTTTGGAATAAAATCCATTGTCCATTAGTGATCAAAACCTGCTTTACAATTCACTTTTACTTCTCAGTACAAAAATAAAAATTGCCAAACAATAATAAAAAGGTTATTTCTGTTTCTCTTATTCCTAAATAGTTGTCTACATCAGTATTTCATTGGTGGGTTCCACTGCTAGTCACCAGCCAGTGACCATACCCTAGAAAATCAATCCAGTCACCATAAAAGCTCAAAAAACGACAGTAGAGAAGATAGAAGTGATCAAGATAACCAACTAACCACAACAAGCATCAATCACTATCAGAGGAACGAATTTGAACCAGGTCACCCCTTACACTTATTTGGGCAGCATCGATTCAACTATAGACAGCAACACGGATGAAGATGTCAAAACCAGAATCGGAAAGTCAAGACACACCTTCATCACTATGAAATCAGTGTGGAAATCTTCTGAGTTTTAGACAAAGAGGAAAAATTTAGGTTTCTAAAACCAGTGTTAAGTCAGCGCTTCTATATAGGTCAGGAGGTTGGCGTGCCATATAAAGCATTTCCAACAGGCTACTGTAGACTATTATCGGTGGTTGCCTTCGCTGGTTTCATACTGAAGATCAGATGGTCAGAAAGAATTAGCACCATGAAACTCTGATAACCGGTCAACCAAGAACGAATATGGGGAAAAACGACAAAGCATTATCCACTAGACCACTTGGGCCACGAGTGCTGGCCACCTCTTGTGCAACGGGTCATTGTTAATTATTTGATTGAAGTTTTTAGAGTTTCCCGTCGATTGATTGGACTGAAGTGCTCCTCGGTCTCAGGTTGACATGCCGGCTTCTCGTGCAGATGCTTCGACGATGTCTGGGCATTTAATTAGAATTCGATTGGCACGTCCAGATGACGAGTCCAAAATAGTACGAAATGCGCATCCTGGATTCCACTGCCAGTCACCATCCATCAATTAAATTCTAATTACATGCCCAGACATCGTGGAAGCATCTGCACAAGAAGCCGACATATCAACTTGTGACTGAGCACTTCGGTCCAATCAATCGACGGGAGAATCTAAAATTCAATTAAAATAAAGTTGTCTACATCAGTTTGAAAATCATCTTCTTCAGTGGGATTACACCATGCTCCTGAACCACATATCTTCAATATCTCATTGATAATAATACAATAGAGAAATAGGAATAGTACACACTTTTGTTTAATCGACTTACACTGAAATTAAGTAGCTGTAGGCGTTTTCTTCTCCGCTGACTCAATCATTCCACCATTATTAATTGGCGGTAGAACATGTGAATTTGAATATGGCCTTGACTGTGATTGTTGTACTGCTGCTGTTGTTGTTGTTGTCGTTGTAGCAGATGGTGATTTTGTATATGGTGAATGAGCAGCAGATTGTAAATCTTTTAATAAATCATTTGAATTATTACCATTATAAGCTTGTATATAACCATCCAATTTCATTTGTAATGCATCAATTAAATTTTGTTGAGCAGCTAATGCACGTTGAGCTTGTTCATAATCAGCTTCTAATACAGGATTAGGTCGTGATTTATTCACCTGGATTAATAACTGTCTAGCTTTATCACCATCTTTACGATTTAAACCAAGCGCTGCTTCTAAATCGTTAATATGATTACGAGCTGCTTTTAATTCTGTACGTAGATTATTGATTTCTTGAATAAGACTAACATTCTCCTAATTTCCATGTGTATAGACAGGTAGAAAGAAAAAATATATAACATTACCTTACGAATGCATTATCCATATAGCGATAATTTGCAATTAGTTGTGTTCTCTAAGGAGCTGGTTGGTTTAATTGCGGAGCTTTCGTCGTCCTTCTGGACAACATCTTCAGTGCAAGTTTTAGCATAAATTGAACTTATTTAAATTCTCAATGAATGGTAGAATTCTGTCTCCTGACAGCCATCTTCGTGACTGGTAATCTATTTACATTTGTATTGATCACTTTTTCATTGACTTGGATTTTTAACTTTCGCGTCACATGATTTACTTTTTATTAGTTGGTAAATTTGGTCTATAATAACATGTTTGTTGATCGCATATTCGCTTAAGTACCAGGCCTTTAGGAGACACAATTCTATCATTCAAGGAGAATTTAAACCAGTTCATTTTATGCTAAAACTTGCACTGAAGAAGTTATCCAGAAGGACGACGAAAGCTCCACAATTAAACCAACCAGCTCAGAGAACATAACAACCTGAGCTACAAATCTTCTCTTTTGTAAAGCGATTATAGAAGTGATGAGTATTTGAGTGGAACAAACTGCCTCTACTGTATTAGGACTTAAAACAAGTGAGTCTAAGTTCTTAGGTCTACAGTTTTTAGTCGAGTTACTTAATAATAATAATAATAATTTGCTTCATTCCAAAACAGTATATGTGATACAGAATGGAATTCTCAGCATTTTTACTACAGTATTACATCCAGTTAGTACATTATCAATAAATAGAATTCTACATAGATTAAGGAAATCTCAGTTCATTATGACAACAATATATTGGCATGTCGGTAGCAAAGCCGAAGTTGAACAGTGTTTGAAGGTGTTAGAAAAGTAGGTGCTGTCATATTTAATGGCGTAAGCAAGAGAAAGAAACAAAGCCGCACATAACGAAAAAAAAGAGAGAGAGAAAAGGAAAAGAAAGAAAGAAAATGTTGTACCTATAAATGATATGAGTTGGAAACACGAGATCCAGTTTTTCTACTGACTATTTAATGAATTATAGGTGTCACGCCTAATGCATTCTTTATCACACAGAACACGAGCTAAGAAGGGTATGGTTGAGTTTTTGTACTTGCTGGTGCGAGCATATAGTTTTCTATATAGGCTTCTGGTTTTACCTGATGAGATGCAAGGGGAGAGTTGTGAAGGAAGAGGGTGGTTTGAGTTAGATAAAATGGACTTGGCCCATTTTTCACATGAGTCCATGTGCCGGTCAACCAGAATATTAACAAGCTGGTTAAGTGGCACGTTGCTTACTCTGCTGACGACCTTTAACATCCTGCGTAATATGTTATATTCTTTCTTCAGTAGCCCTGGAAAAACTAAGGGGGAACAATAGAGAATAATAGGCAGAATGCGAGAGTTAACGAATTGTAGGAGTAAGGGTTGGGTTATTCCAGAATGTCTTAACTTCTTGATGTAGAAGGTAAGACGGAATATTTTCTTAGAAATCGTCAAGATATGAGACGAGCAGGAGAGATCAGCAGATAGAATGACGCCTAGGTATTTAATTTCCGACTTGGTTTCTATTTCAGTGCCATCTATGCCGCACACCTCGTGAGAGCCAACCAGTTTCTTTAGGTTGGATTTATGCCTAAAGGTGAAATTGACTGTTTGGCATTCGGAGGGGTTTAAGGTAAGACCGTTTTCCTTGGACCACTGGCTGATTTCTGACAGAAAGCCATTACTTCTTGAAATACGTAGATTAATTATGAAATAGTGATAATAAAACATAAAATTTTAGTTAGATCATTTATACACTAGATAATTTGCAATATGTTCCTTTCAAACAAAAGAAAATGAGAATGATGAAAATGTTAGAGTAGAATTTGAGCAATTTCGCGGCATATAGTTCAATATTAAATCTCTTTATTTGATATAAGACATACATTATGATACAGGAATAATAAATGGATGACATTTCGAGAACAATTTACAACTGCTGATAATCATATCAGTTTAATCACACGATATCCTAACTTGTTTCACATAGGCTTAACCACCCCCAGCTACTAAATCTGTTTCCTGTTGCAATTTTCCGTATATTAGTATTATGTGCTACGTTGTTCCAACTGCATGTGTTTGGCATTGATTCGATGAACAAAGATCCCGTGATTAACCTCTCTCTCTTTCTCGGTCTCATCACCTAACTGTATCACTTTTTATACACCCTATTGTGTGATTTCATGCAAATGTGTGCGACCAATAGCCAATTACTTAACTTACTGAGATCAACCATTCTAGATCTGGTTAACATTCTGTCTTCTACTAAATTAACTTACCGATATCTAGCAGTCTGACCTACGTAATTGACTTCACAGTCATTAAATGGTTTTTGGTAAATTATTATGTAATGCCTAATTGGGTCCGTTGGATCGTTGAGCCAAAGAAGTTTGTATTTGAATGGATCGATGTATTTCAGTGCCACCCAAATCCCAGCTTAATTAAGAAAACTAATTTGTGTTTCTGAATTTCCTTGTTTATATATTAGTACTGTCGAGGCTTTAAATTCTTTGTTATTTTTATTATTCACATTACTAATTCCGTTCTTCTTACTTTTCTTCATTCCGTTAAGTTCAAATTGGAACATAGAGCTTGAAGTTTGAGATTTGACGGTTTAGTAATGGTGGTGCCGTTTTTAAGGAGTTAGGGTTGGTCACTTGGTGCCTAACTTTCTGTCTTTACCAGGCTTACTACCGACTGAACAAGGTTTTGGAGATCCTGGGCGAGGAACCGAATACAGATCATGTGAGCTGTTGGTGAGCACTCTACCACTGAACCTCCAACGTAGCATTCTAATTAATCCCAATAAAATTCTGAATGAAATCCAGTGGACGTTTATTCACTAGACATATTCCCCTTATTTCCATAATCTGAGTAAATCAACTACTCTGTACACAATACTGTGAAGATATGCTGCAATGCGATGCTAAATATTAGAAGGGATAATCAAAACAAAACAAAACTTTTCTTTAACTCATACTAAGCCCTACTCATCAACTGGGTGTATCTATAATCATCATTATTAATAACCTGGTGAGATGAAGTATCGCCCAATGCGGATATGAGTTAACTACACAAATCAATCTGTGAATGACAGTCAGTGTGCCGAAATAAAAAGTAATACAACGTATTTAAAACAATTAGTCCCTTTTATAAATTTGAATAGCTTTATTAGAAGACGGAGATTATCTGAAAAATGTGATGTGATGTATTTGCGCTATACATTTCGAACAATCTGATCCCGCACACATCTACTTGTCAAGTCGATATATATGAAAAAATTAAGGGCAATTAAATTAAACAAAGTGACAACATAAAAGGATTTAAGAATGATTAACACAACGTTTGGTAATCCAATCAAAGAAGGATTACCAAGGTATATATGTTAAGAGTAACTTCGTTTACAGCTAAACATCTAATCGAGATGAACCATAAGATTGATGTTAATTCAGCCTTTAAGGTCATCTATAAAAACGGTCAAGGGCGCTTATTGAAATACTCTGAGGCTATAGCTATTCATAAACTTAAGCCCCCTCCCCCTGTGTATTCAAAAACAGTTTATTATTACTGTTAACCTACCTTGGTAATCCTTATTTGATTGGATTACCAAACGTTGTGTTAATCATGCTTAAATCCTTTTATGTTGTCACTTTGTTTAATTTAATTGCCCTTAATTTTTTCAGATATATCGACCTGAAAAGTAGATGTGTGCGGGATGGGATTGTTCGAAATGTATAGCGCAAATACATCACATCACATTTTTCAGATAATCTCCGTCTTCTAATAATGCTATCCAAATATTTATAGATTTGTTCATGTGGCTAAACTTCAATTTATGCATACATTTATTATTATTATATTATTGTATCCTTTAATTCCTAGAGGAACATAGGGCTTCAGCCGTGGGTCTCCATTGAGTTCGGTTCTCTGCTAGAGTCTTCACCTGGCTCCAAGTCTGCCCACACGTTTTCATCTCCTCTTCATATGACCTCCTCCAAGTCACCCTTGCACTGACGACCAACTCGCCGCTTCCCTTTCGGGTTCCACTCGAGCAATGGCTTGTCTAGTGATGTCATACATTTGGTTATTCAAAATTTGGCACAAATGAGAATCTATGAACCTATGTATCCTTACCCAGTGGCTACATGTTAATGTTCTTGCCTTGTAACCAGAAGATCCTGTGTATACATACTACAGAAAAATCTCAAACCAAAACTAAACATTTTTCAGTACTCCATAGTTTTCAATGGTCCTTTAACTAATGTCAGCTTGTGATGAAATCCACCACTGAAATTATGAAACTAGTTAGGCTTTTTAATACAGGCAATTTCATTTAAACTTCTCATTTAAGTACTTAACATTTAACAAATAGGAAATCATGGGATCGGAAAACTGTTAGGGAAATCAAGTTCTTTCTTGAAGAAGATTCATTTTATAGACATGTGAATCAGTTGGTCGCGTTATTTAAGTTTCAATTATGGTTTTTTTGTATTTCTTTGTGTTCCTAGTGGAATGTAGGGTTTTAAGCTTCAAATTAAACCAGTGAAGGATGACAGTGGAAAGTCAATCACCAAAGAGGTGGAGCAAAGGAAACACTGGGCTGAACACTTCAAAAGACTTCTAAATTGACCGCCACCTACAACGCGCCCAACAATACCAACAGCAGAAGAAGAACTATCAGTGGACAGCAACCCTCCAACAAAAACAGCAATCCTGAAGGCAATGAAGATGTTAATGTTATGTATGTGAATATGAGGACCTTGTAGACTACGAGCGAATCTAACTAATGCGTTGGCTAATCTGTCTTAATCGCACGTCAACAACAACAACAATAATACCGCCGGGCACGCAAGACAAATAAAAGAGAAGACTGGACGTTGATATGAGAGCTGTAACTGTCTCAAACAACAGTCCAAAATGTTAAACAAAACTCCGTATTTATACAATTAGG